GTTGACCAGGATGGTCTCGATCTCTTGACCTCGTGATCCACCCGCCTCGGCCTCCCAAAGTGCTGGGATTACAAGCGTGAGCCACCGCGCCCGTCCCCTTAATTCTTTTACTAATGCCTCTCAGGTCAGAAGTGTGAACCTGGGGTGACATCGTGAAATGAATGACCCTAAGGCAAGGTGCTCTAAGTCCTCTGTCACGCCCGCATAAGGGCTGCTGGAGGGCGCCTCGGCTGTGCGACAGTGTCAGCGCTGTGAAAGCACCTGCTGTGCAGCCAGCTAGGGAAGGAGATGTCCAAGATGGCCAAGACGTCTCCTTCCTCAGGGGAGTGAGGAGAAAACTCTGCTTCTCCAAGCTCTCGTGGTAAGCCTGATCGCGGACACCCGGGGACTTAACTGTCTCTGTGTGGTGCTGTGCTTCAGTGGTCACGTTCCATGGCTACTCTCATGTTCTGCTTCTGCACCTGGTTCCTTTTTTCTTAGAAAAGATAATCAATAATAGTAACATAGATCTTAATGTTTTAGATCTTTCATGATAAGTATAGAAAAGGTGCTGACGCATTATGCTCCTTACCTCACTTGGGGTGCCATAAATTCCTGAGCCCTCACCTGTATGCCACGCCCTATTTTACCTTGTCCCCAGTCACTCACCACCAAGACCACGCCCTACCTACACCCTACCTTCCCTGCCCCCAGATTTGCAACTCAATAAAAGTCAGGGCGTCCGGGCATTTGGGGCCACTGCTGGTCTCCGCGATCTGGGTAGCTGTGGACCTCTGGGCCCAAACTCTCTTTTCTCAATCTCCATGTCTTGTGCCTTTTATTTCTACAATTTCTCCTCTTCGAACCAGCAGGGAGGGGCTCACAGAGCCCCGTAGGGCTGGACCCCACACCTGCCCCCCACCCCCACCGTTCACCCATTGGCACTGGCTGATTCCCCAGGCAGAAGTCCAGCTCCCCAGGTCCCCACAATGCATTCCCCTTTCTCTTTCAAGTTCCTGCGCAACTATCTTGTCTGAAACCAGCACCATCCCCATCTCTCGGCTCCCAGGCCGCCGCTGCCCAGCCCAGTAGACACGTTTCATCCATTTTGGTCAACTGTGTGATTCCATCTTCTTTGAACTTTTCTTTGCAGCAAATGGAATCATCATATCCCTCTTAGTTGCCTCATAGTCGCTCTCCTCCATTTTCTTTTCTTTCTTTCTTTATTTTTTGCTATCCTTCTGTTTTGGGGGAGGAGCGATGTATGCACAGTTGTGCTCTCTAACCAGAATTTCCGCATCTGTAGATCCAATGGCCCGATCTCCACTCACTGCAAACTCCACCTCCCGAGCTCAAGTGATTCTCATGCCTCAGCCTCCTGAGTAGCTGGGACTACAGGTGAGGTTATGCTTTTTTTTTTTATCTTATCTAAGAAAAACCTCCTAACCCTGAGATTATAAGACATTTCCCTCTATTTTTCAAAAAAAATTGTTTTCTTTTACATTCAGGTTTGTAATCCACCTGCAGTTTATTTCTAAGTATTGCATGAGGCCAGACGCGGTGGTAATCCCAGCACTTTGGGAGGCCGAGGCGAGTAGGTCACCTGAGGTTAGGAGTTTGAGACCAGCCTGGCCAACTTGTTGAAACCCCATCTCTACTAAAAATACAAAAATTAGCCAGGTGTGATGGCATGTGCCTGTAGTCCCAGCTGAGGCACAAGAGTTGCTTGAACCCGGGAGGAGAAGGTTGCAGTGAGACAAGATGGCACCACTGCACTCCAGCCTGGTCGAAAGGATTGCATGAGGTTGCCAGTTGATCACATATCATCCACAAGAAGAGCCAATTGGCTCAATCCTGCCTATGTAGAATTTGGTTTCTTCTTTCATTGTTTTATAGCTGCAACCTCTCTCAAATGCCAAGACACAATTTAGTCACTCTGTTTCCAGCCCTTCTGAACCTATGCATTGCTCAGTTTCTCTGTCTCTGAGCTGCGGCTTTCATTTTTTTTTTCCTTTTGAGACAGGATCTCGCTCTGTCACTCAGGCTGGAGTGCACTGGCATGATCTTGGCTCACTGCAACCTCCACCTCCTGTGTTCAAGTGATTCTCCAGCCTCAGCTTCCTGAGTAGCTGAGACTATAGGCGCATGCCATCATGCCTGGCTAATTTTTGTATATTTAATTAGAGATGGGGTTTTGCCACGTTGGCCAGGTTGATCTTGAATTTCTGACCTCAGGTAATCCGCCACCTTGGCCTCCCAAAGTGCTAGGATTACAGGCCTAAGCCATTGCCCTGGACCAAAAGTTACCTTTTTAATTGAAAAATAAATAAATAAAATGAGGTGAAATTTACACATAAATTAACCATCTAAAAGTGAACACTTGGGGCATTTAGAGCATTCATAACGTTGTGCAGCCATCATCTCTGTGTACTTCCAGAACACTTCATTCCCCTGAAAGGAGACCTGGAGTTCATCAAGCTGTCACTCTCCCTTTCCCCTCCAGCTACTGGCGGTCACAACACTGCCTCGGGTCCTAGGGATTCGCCTATTCTTGAAATTTCATATTCATAAAAATATACACTATGTGATCTTACGTGTGTCTGGTTTCTTTCTCTTTACAAAATGTTTCTGAGGTTGAACCACTTTGTAGCAATTATCAGTGCTTCATTCCTCTTCAGGGCTAAATAATACTCCATTGTGTGGGTGGACCACATTTTGTTTATCCACTCCTTCCACTGATGAACATGTGAGTTATTTCTGCCTTTTAGCTATGATGAATAGTGCTGCTGTGAACATTTGTGTACAAGTTGTTCTTAGAACACCTGTTTTCAATTATTTTGAGTATGCACCTAGGAGTGGAATTGCTGGTTCATAGGATAATTCTGTATTTAACTTTTTAAGCATCCACAAAAGTATTTGTTCACAGTGGCTGTACCATTTTAGACGCCCACCAGCAATAAACAAGCATTCCAGTTTCCTCACATCCTTGTCAACACTTGTTATTTTCAATTTTAGATTTTAGCCATCCCAGTGCTGCTTTAATGTGGTTGTGATTTGCATTTCTCTAATCACCACATTTTGCTTTTAATATCTATTATCTGGTACAGTTCTTGCATCTCTTTAACACACCCCACAATTCTGTAAAACATCCTCAAACATCCATCCATAAGCATCAGTTCAAGGACGTTGCCTCAGTTTCTCCCAGCCGAAGAGTCACTCACCTGAGTTTGGCTTCTTGGTGGGTTCTGTGAACAAAGAGAAAATAAATGCAATATGCATTGAAGATTCATCAGAAGCACAAAGAAAGGGCTGGGCACTGTGGCTCACACCTGTAATCCCAGCAGTTTAGGGGGCCAAAATGGGTGGATCACACTGTCAGGAGTTCAAGACGAGCCTGGCCAACATAGTGAAACCTTGTCTCTACTAAAAATACAAAAAATTAGCTGGGTATGGTGTCAGGCACCTGTAGGCCCAGCTACTTGGGAGGCTGATGCAGGAGAATCACTTGCACCTGGGAGAAGGAGGCTGCTTCAGTGAGCAAAGATCGCGCCACTGCACTCCAGCCTGGTGACAGTGAAAAAAAAGCTAAAAAAAAAAAAAAAGGCCATTAACACCCTGATGAAATATAAAAAGTAAGTGACAAAGCAATACAAAGTAAATGATATGGACACAAATTCCATGGTATATTTGGGGAAAAAAGCAAGGAAAGACCCTTAAAATCCATTCAAAAACAATCTGCCCTCGAGGCTGTAAGGATGCCCACAGGATGGCCACAGTAGCTGAGAGCATCCAAGACAAGGGAGTGAGCCCCCGTCTCTAGAGCCACCACAGAGCCGGACAGTAGGCTGGGCGGGGAGGGAGGCAAAAGAAAAGATGGAGAAAGCCTTGCAGCTTCTAGAATGATGGCTTTTCTCACTTTCTTTCATTCACGAATTTATTCATTCAGCAAACATGTATCGTGTGGATGTGGACATCAGGTCGGGAGTGCTCACCTTCACCGGCAGCTCTGTGAGTGAAGGTGAGCAGAGAAGGTGATAGGAGAATGGAGAAGAAGTATGCTCTGGCAGGGGAGACTGGGGGCCATAAATTCAGATCAGGATGTGGGACAATGACGGATATGAACTTAAGTGTAGGAAAAGCAGTAACTGAGCCGGGCATGCTGGTGTGTCTCTGTAATCCCAGCATTTTGAGAGACCAAGGTGGAAGGATTGCTTGAGCCCAGGAGTTTGAGGCCAGCCTGGGCAACATAGTGAGATTCCATCTCTACAAAAAATCAAAAAAATTAGCTGGGCATGGGAGCACACACCTGTAGTTCCAGCTACTTGGGAGGCTGAGGTGGGAGGATTGTTTGAGCCAGGAAGTCAAGGCTGTGTGGTAAGCTATGATTGCACCACAGCACTCCAGCCTGGGCAACAGAGCAAGACTCCCATCTCAATAAAATAAAACATAAAATAAAATAATAAAATACTAGTATACTTCTAAACTACAGGCTTCAGAAGCACAGACCTACCAAGAAATGAGTCTGAGACTTTTAGAGAGTGTGTAAAAGTTTGTCTCAAGGCACCTGCAATCTCCTATAAAGAAAAAAGATCTCAACACCAAGAAATTCCAAACACCGGCCCAACCCAACTCCAAAGTAACCGTGCAGCTGACACTATTAGACCCAAGCTGAAAAGAGAAGGCTCCCCTTGAAATATTGGCACTTACCAGGGTCATCAAGGGCGTCTGCCAAGTCAAAGTCTCTTTGACCTATTGGGAGCAAACAGGGCGTAAGTCCACACCATGATGGAAAGGCCAGAATCCCCCTCGTTCCTCACCTCACACTGCTTCCCTCCTCCTGCAAGCCCAGGGTTGCCAGAGAAATACAACTAACCACGAGCTACGTGGGAGATGCAACCACCACCTCTACCTGCTCCCAGAACATACTTCTCGCCCAAAGGAAGACCCCTGTTCCCATTCAGCAGTCACTTCCCCTGCTGCCTCCCCAGCCCCTGACAACAACTAATCCACCTGCTGTTGGATTGCCTGTTCCATGAATTGCCTGTTCTGCAAATTTCGTATAAATAGAATCCTACAATATGTGGTATTTTGTGGCTGGCTTCTTTCACTGAGCATGAGGCTTTTGAGTTGCATCCACATTGCAACCCGTGCCAGTATTTTATTCCTGCTCATGGCCAGGGAACTTTGAAGGAAGCCTCTCTCCGAGTACATAGACTTCTCTCCTGGACCATTCCACTCACAGCTTAGGACTGGCATTTCCCCCATACATAAACACACACACACACACACACACTCATTCTCTCTCACACACACACAAAGAGAGAATCTAGGTTGAGAGGGGTTGCCCTAGAAAAAGGTGAAGCAGAACAATATGAGGATCCTGGATCCTTGAGAGACTGTATGGAACGGAGGACACCTTTGCCACCTCACCTGGCTGCAACACAAACAAGAGGTAAACTTTTAAGTCTTTGGGGGCTGTTTGTTACAGCAGCCAGCCTACACTGACAAATACAGGGTCGGGAAGCAACCTGTGTGCACAAGCTGAGGTTCCCACCTGATCCAAAAGCAGTTAACCTAATGAATGTGTCTGCAGCAGAGATGAGAACATTCCCATCTTTGTGACTCATCATTGAAAACACACTGCAGAATTAGTGAGGATGAAGGGTCCCTCCTGCTGACATACATGCACACCTTGCCTTTTGTTCCCCCTTGCCCCCTGCCAGTACTACCCCTGCAGAGAAAACACCACCAGAGAACTTATCAGGAGGTAGAGGATGCAGGCGGGAGGGCATTGAATCAGCGCTTCCTATGCACTGAGTTCTGTTGCAGTAATGCCAGGCGTCCAAGCAGCTCCTCCGCCCACCCGAGGATGTTGTTTTCACCAGCACGCACGTTTCCCAAAGGAAGAACCTGGGCTTCTGGGAGGTTTAGGGCAAGGCAGGAGCACAGTCAGAATTTGCAGAATTGTCCGGGGGAACAGCCTCTTGCTCAAACACTAAGCCCTGGAGGAGGCTAAGCCTGGGGGAAGCAGGTAAGCCATCGGTGCTGGGTCTCCTCCACCTCTGATGCCTGTCTCCCTCCCAGAAATCTGTCTGCCTGGGTGTTGCTTGCTCTGGAGGAAGGTTCAAGGACTACAACATAGATTTGTACAGCCTGTGGCATGGCTCCAGCGAGATGCCACGAGGGCAGGCTTTGTGGCTCCTTGTGGAGGTAATGAGGGCCTCTCCGGAGCAGAAGGTGTATCCCCAAGCAGGAATGCACACAGCAGCTGCCCCTGGTCCTACACAGCAGTTTCCTTCCAACTTGAGGAGCCCACATGTCCCTCTCAGATGACGTTCTCTGCTGCCAGTGATCGCTACAGGCTCACCTGTAAGAACAACCCGGCTCTTCTTTGCTCCCTCCGGCTCT